CAGTGCAGGGTCTCAGATCAGGGTGCAGGCAAGCCTCCTGCCTCATCTGAAGGCTCGACCCGGGCTGGAGGAGCCGCTCCTGAGCTGCTCCCTCATGTGGCTGGTGGCAGTTGTCCTCGGTTTCCCAAGCCACTTACGTGTCCTCACAACATGGTGACCACTTGTCCCCCAGAGAGCAATCCAAGAGCAAGGGAACACGGCAGTGTCTGACCTGTGTCGGAACTCACACGCTCTCACTTCAGCCGTACCCCATTGGTCATACCCACAGCTGCTGCAGAAGCATGTGGATACCAGGGGGCCCGGCCCACCGGAGCCCATCCTGGAGGCTGGCCACCCCAGCGGGCAGCTCGCTTGGCTTCGGAGCCTCCCTCTCTCATCTGCAGAATGGGGCAGTTGTGGCCCTCTCCCCACAGGGTGGAATGCAGCACCAGCGAGAGCTTGAGCTGAGCAGCCAGCCCATGCCTGACGCAGAGGGACCCTCAAGGTGCAGGGGCCCCTGTGGTAATCCCAGAGCCCAGCGGGCGTCAGGGGCCTGGTTCCAGCCTGGCTCTCCGCCAGCTTACTGGCCCTGCTCCACTCAGCCTCCATGTAAAACAAATCCGGCCCCCTGGGATTCTGGAAGCCTAGACACGCCCTGCTGGGTAGGCTGGCCCACACTGGGAAATTACTGCCGTGTTGAGAGAACGCCCAGCCCCAGGTTCCCACCGTCCGCCTAGAGCCTGACGGGCAGACACCTGCATGAGTGACGAGCCCCGGGCCGAGGGGGGCCTCCAGCTGAGCAGCCCTGGCTTGCCTCAGTGGCTCCTGGCATTTTAGAATTCAAGTGCAGTATTGCAGCCCAGCCCTGGCTTCCGGGGAGTAAAAATATATCTGGGAAGAAAACTGGGCCAAGAAACCTCACACGTTGATCCTGAGACAGCGCATGATCTTCCATCGGGCACCTGCTGGGGCGGGGCTCCTGTGCTCCTGCCCTCCTGTCCTCCTGCCCTCCTGTCCTCAGATCTGGCTCGTCCACAGGCCCCTTCCCCTGTGGAGGTCTGCACTTGCATGTCCAGCGATGGCCACCTGGTGTCCCCTTGAGGAGCCCCCATCCCCCACACCTAGGCAGAGTGCTGCTGGCTCCAGGGTTGGGTGGGGAGCCAGGCCTCAGGCTCCTGACCTGCAGGGCCCTGCCCTGGGACTTTATAGGGGACAATCAGGCACCTGCGGGGGCAGGGGGTGTGCTGGGAGGACAGCAGCACTGACAGGTGGCCCCCAGGTGCAGCCACACTTGAAGCTCATCACACCTCTTCCGTTAGGTCAGGGCTTGGCAAGCTTGCTGTGAAGAGCCGGATGGTCTCCGTTGTAAGTGTTCAGTTCTGCCATTGTAGTGCAAAAGCCATGGTAGAGATTCATACATGAGTGGGCGTGGCTATGTGTCAATAAAACTTTATTTATAAAACAGACTGTGGGTTTGGTCTGCAGGGCACAGTTGGCTGGCCTGAGTTATATTAACAAATCTCTCTCTCTCTCTCAAATAAAATCTTTTAAAGTGGGGGGGAGGTGCCTGGGTGGCTCAGTTAAGTGTCTGACTCCTGGTTTTGGCTCAGGTCGTGATCTCAGGGTTTGAGATCGAGCCCTGTGTCAGGCTCCATGCTCAGCGGGGAGCCTGCTTCTCCCTCTGCCTCTGCCTCTGCCCCTCCCTCTGCTCATGAGCGCTCTCGCTCACTCTCTCTATCTCTCTGTCTCAAATGAATAAATAAAATCTTAAAAAAAATATCCCTCTCCACACACACCTTTGTTCTTCCAGCGGTGTGAGTTAGGCTGCTGTCTGAACATAAAATACCCTAATCCCACTTCTTTGAGCCTCAGTTTCCCTCTCTGAAGAAGAGAGATGAGAGGCATTGCCCAGCACAGGCCTGGTGGGAAGCTCATGGCCTTGCTTCGCATTCAGCCCTTCATCAGATGTCCAGGTCAGGGACCATGTGAGAGCTCCATTCCCCATGCTCTTCCCCTGAGGCTTCCTCCTCCACGCAGCCCTCCAGGATTTCTCCGCAATGCGCACTGAGGTCGGCTCTGTGCCTGGGAGCTGGTATGGGGGTCACTGAGGGAGACGGGGAAGTGGCCTGTCCTCCAGAGCTCTCAGTGGAGCCAAGAGCGCTCTGAAGGTGGCGTGGCGTGGGTTCCAGAGGGAGCTGCCAGGAGAGGCTAGACCTGGAATCCCTGGGGTCCCAGGATGGGCTGGGGAAGGCATCCACTGAGCAGAGAGGAGGCGGGGAGGAGATGTGCCTGGCCCAGGGCCCACGGCGTGAAGGAACCTGAGCAGCAGAGGACCCGACAGGCTGGGCGGGGGGATGGACACTGGCGGGTGACCGCTCATGTGCTAGGTCTGGGCCCCAGTGTCCGAATCCACGAAAGAGGAGCAGTCTCCGTCTGCCCCTGTGATGGTGTGGGTGACCCTGTGCAGAGCCTGCACCGCATGCCGCGAGCTCGGCAGAGCTGGTGCCAGCTCGGAGAGCGCACGGCCAGGAGCGTCTGTGCCTGGGGCAGTGAGGCAGAGCGAAAGTCAGCAAATGCAGGGGGAGCAGTATGGAGCTCTCATGCTGGGCCCAATACACAGGGTGGTGGTGGGGGTCACACAGGTGACCATATGGCTGCAGGACATGGGGCCGGGTGCTTGGGAGCACCATCGGGAGCAGCAACTCGGCCTGGAGGGTCCGGGAAAGCCGCAGAAGGGCTTGGCGAGGAAGTTTCCGGTTGCTCGTGAGGACAGGTCAGCTTGGGCTGCGTTGAGCCAACCTGGGAGCCAGCCCTTATGGGCGGAGTGAGTCTGCGGGGTCTCTGGGACCCCCTGCAGCTCTGCTGCCTTGAACTGGCCCAGACCTCTGAGCCTCAGTCTCCCCAGCTGTACAGTGGGTCCAGTGACCGTTGGCTTCCGCGAGTGTTAGAGGTTGGATGTGGCTTTCAGGACGCCAGCCCCGCACTGGGAATGTGTGCATGCGGTAGCTCTTTGCTGCGGGGAACTGCAAGCAAAAGCAAAAGTAGACAGGATAGTACAGTTAGATATGTTTTTTATCCTGGAATGTTTTAAATACCTAGAAAATACTGACACCCACATCCTACCCGCCCCCCTGTCATCCCACACACGCCCACAGCGGCTCCGGAGTCCGTCCCCCCACCGCACACCCCCGCGGCGGCTCGGGAGTTCGTCCCCCCACCGCACACCCCCGCGGCGGCTCTGGAGTCTGTCCTGGGCACTGTGGACACAGGGCCAGGTCATTCTGTGGGGGCCTCCTGAGCACTCTGGGGGGCCGAGCAGCATCCTGGGCCCCACCCCCTCCATGCCAGGAGGCCCCCAGGCGTGACAACCACAGACATCCCCAGATGGGGCAGGGCTGCCCTGGGTGAGAGCCACCTTTATGTCACTCCCCTCCACCCTAGTCACTGTCCCTGCCTCCGGGCCTCCACTGGTCCTTCACGGGAGACATTTGCTGACCCCTGACTGAAGAGAGAAACAAGAAAAGATCTGTTTAACCTGCTGGTGTCTTTTATGTTATGTTGTGCTTTTCTGGGTGCTTAAAATCTTTTGTTACTAAGCATCATGTGTAGCATTTCATCTCACGGCAGGGCCCAGCAAGCAGGAAATGCTCAATGCTCACAGTTTGGAATGAGCGAGGGAGGGAGGGAAGGAACAGAATATTCTTTGCGAAATTGGTTGTTAAGGAAAATTTGTAATTCCTTCTCTGACACCATTCACTGTTCCAGGGGGCTCAGAGTGAAAAATGCAAACCTTCTCTTTTCTTGTCTTAGTGCACTGGCCGGTGTCCCCACAGTAGTGGAGGCTCTCGGCTGCACTCCTCTTGCGGGGAGCGTCGCGTGTTTGCCGTGGGTTTTCGCTTTATTCTGTTTTCAAGCAAAGCAGTTCTTCTCCCCCATCAGCCCATTTCTGTTTGTTTCTCTAGTTTCTAATAGTTTTCAGACATGAAATTTGTGTTGAATTTTGTCGAATGCCTTTCTGGATTCTGCGATGTGATCATAGGGTTTTTTTCACTTTCGACCTGGGTGTCTTCAACCCCGTTTCGCTGCCTGTGGAATGGTGGTCGCGGAATAAGATCGTTAAGTCAGGTGCTGCCTGGCCCCTCTGGCCTCGTGTGGGGGATGGCGTGACCTGGGCCGCTTTTACCCTCACTTGGCAGCACTGCCTGCCAGAAGGAGTGGAGCCTGGAGAACGTTCTGGGTGGTGCGCATCGTTGGGCAGTGGTTTTGCAGCTAAAGGGATTCGTTTTTGAGATGTGTTCACATACCATAAAATTCACTCTCTTGGGGGCGCCTGGGTGGCTCAGTCGGTTGAGCGTCCGACTCTTGATTTGGCTCAGGTCAGGATCTCAGGGACGTGGGATCGAGCCCCACGTGGGGCTCCGTGCTCAGCAGAGAGTCCACTTGGGGTTCTCTCTCCCTGTGCCCCTCCCCCAGCTCATGCGCTCTCTTGCTCTCTTTCTCTCTCTGTCTAAACTAAATAAATAAATCTTAAAAAAAAATTCACCCTCTTAAAGTACACGATTCTGTGGGTTTTACTACATTTGCTATGTGGTGCCGCCATCACCACTGTCTAGTTGGAGAACATTCCGTCACCCCAAAGGAAACCCCGTCCCCCTCAGTGGTCACTCCCCGTCCCCCCAGCCCCCGGCCCCCACGAGCCCCCTTCCCGTCCGCGGATGAGCCTGTTCTGTGCGTGTCACCCACGTGACTCACACCCCGCGTGGCTTCTGTGTCTGGTTCCCTCCCTGAGCATCGTGGGCTCGGGGTCCGTCCCTGGGGCAGCGCGTGTCTGCACCTCATTATTTGTATGATTGAATAATCCAGGCTTTGAATATATTTAGTGCTTTTTTGAAAGTAAGGAATTTAAGGTGGACAGAGGAGTTAAAGCTCTATTTCCTTCCTCCGTCCCCGAAGAAGTCCCTGGTAATAGATCCTTACGTTCCTTCTAGAAACGCTCTCCACATGTCGCTGTGGTACCTGCTTCCGTCACCTGTACTGGTCACAGACCGCCCAGAGCTGGGTGCTTGAGAAAACGGCTGCGTGTTCGCTTGCGATTCTGCCCCTGGCTCGGCTTCGGCTGGCAGTCCTTCTGCGGCTTCGCCTGGGGTCAGTCACACAGCCGTGGTCAGCAGGCGGCACGAAACCCAAGAGGCTCCCACACGCTGGTCCCGCATCTCAGCCGGGGACTGCCCGCCTGTCTCCGGAGCCCAGGGCTCAGGGTTCCCGGAGGGCGGAATCGGAGGCTGCCAGCCTTGCCCGTGCCCTGCGGTCCCCTCGGCGTCCCCTCGGCGGCACTCTGCAGCTCAGAGCGTCACGTGGCCGCAGAGAACCGGCCGTCTTCACTCGGCCACGGGAGCCTTTCTTCCCGTTTGGAGAGAGGATTTGCAGGTGCGGCTCCTGAGCGTCCTGGCGGGCCAAGGCTGACCGGGGCTGAGGGTTGGCACTGCCCCCCAGGGGTTCCCAGTGTCTTCGCAGGCTGCCCGCAGGGCTCTGCCCCGGAGGCCTGTGCCGCGGGAGGCCCAGGGCAGCCCGAGCATCCCAGCTGATCAGGGAAGTGTGTGCAGCTGGGCCTCAGCACCACTTCCTGGCTTCTCGGGGCTGCTGGCCCTGTCTGCCATGGCCTAGTGCTTTCTTGCTGGCTCTGAGTCACGGGGAGCCGGCGCTCTTCCTGGGCCCCAGGCAGTCCTGCTCTGGGCAGGGGCCCCACCCTGCATGGAGCTGACAGGCCTCGTGCCCCTCGTGTCCGGTGGGGAGTCTCTGCACGCAGAGAGCCCTGAAGGTGTCTGTCAGGGGGTGACTGAGCAGACCTGCTCTCCCGGTAGTGGGAGAGACATAACACGGAGGCACGGGGTGCTGCCGAGTGCCTGGGAGACCCAGAAGGCCAAGGAGGTGAGGAGAGTGACCTCAGAGGGGCTGTTTTGGGCGAAGTGGTTGGAGGACACCTAAGAGGGGGTGACCTTTGAGCCAGGTCTTGGATGAAGCAAGTTAGCAAACCCTGCAAGTGTCTCGGGAGTGGTGTTTGGTGCAAAGGTCCTGGGGCAGGGCCCTGCTTGGCATGTTGGAGGAACAGTGAGGAAGTCTGTGTGGCTGGAGCAGAGTGGGGGAGAGGGAGGAGGGGAGGGCAGATAGGGGAGAGGGGCAGGTCCTGCAGGGCTTGGGGACCTCAGGGAGGACTTGGGCTTTTCCCCCAGGGAGGAGGGAGTCCTGGAGGGCTATGGGCGGAGCAGGGCGGGACCTGACTGGGGTGATCACGGGCGCCCTCTGGTGGCCGCTGCGGGAAGAACGGACTGGGGTGAGGGCGGGACCAGGGACCAGGGTGGAGGGGACTGTGCTGGTCCAGGTGATGGGCCGAGAGGGCCGGGGGCAGTGGGCAGATTTTGGACGGATTGTAAAGGTACGGTGGCTGATTCTGCTGAAAGACAGATGGTAGGGCTCCTCTCTGGGTCCTGGGGACCCACAGTCCTTCCTGAGCCCCGTCCTCCCTCAGTTTCCACGTCAAACAAATGTGGAGGAGCAGCTCCTGCTGAAGCTCACATGCGTGCAGAGGGGAGAGGAAAGGGTGTCTGTCTGTCCATCCGTCAGTCAGTCAACAAACACTGGTAGGTGCCTGCTAAGGGCAGGTCCAGCCCTGAGGGAGGAGGCCCTCTCCCGTGGGTAGGACAGATGTTGGTGTCATTGCCGCCCGGAGGGACAGGACAGGGTCTGCAGGGTGGGGCAGCAGTCCGATGGTGGTGTGGGGTGGTGGGCTAGGGAGGGGGAGCCCAGCTCTGGAGCCCTGGCTTTGGTCACCCACAGGGGCACAGACCAGAGGAAAGCTGCTCAGAGAGGTGAAGGGACTTGCCTGAGGTCACACAGTGGTGGGCTGCAGGGGCTAGCTCAGAGGTCAGGGAGCAGGGGAGGCAGGGGATGGCCCCCTCACCCCAAACGGTCTGGGCCCTGGCCACCCCCTGCCTTCCGCCCAGCGGCTGGCACAGCTGTGCCCCGCCCGGGGCAGGTCTTGGCCCAGTGTGAAACACTCTCTCCCTCCTCAGGCTATTTTTAAAACTTAATTTCCTCAAAAATGGGGTGGCTCATTCAGAAGAGAATGGGTCACGTCTTGGGCTGGGAGGAGCTCGTCGTGGCGTGGCCTCCTTGGGCCTGGTCTGGCTGGTGGGAGCATAGGGCAGGGCCACGGGACCTCCACAGCCCACCCGCCCTGAGCAGCCATCACCCTTTGAAGATGCATGAAGGCCCTCGAGGGCCCGGGGCCACGGTGTTTGAGGGAGCAAGGGGGTCGCTCCCGGGCATCATGCTGCGGCCTCTTCTGGCACGGAGCCCAGGGTATTCCAGGTGGGAGGACGCATCTCTCCCTTTTATTAGCCAGCGTGTGAGTTGGGCAGGAGGAGTGTGGCTGTTGCAGGGACGCTGGGCACGAAGCAGGTGACCTTGAGGGGTCCCAGGGCAGGGCAGACCCGGGCAGGACCTCATATCAGAGGCTGGTGTTGGTGTGGCCCGAGCACGCAGGGTGAGTGGGGCTGGGAGCCGCCAGGCTGCCCCCGACAAGCTGGGAGAACTGGGAAGCTGGTGGAACTGTTTGTGGGGGGAGGCCTGGACCTCGGGGCTGGGCCTGTTCGGGCAGAGAGCCCCAGGGTGAAGGGCTGGGGGCTGCAGAGGTCACAGGTAGGCACGGTTGGGTGGGCTTCGGGCCCAGCGGCCCCAGGCTGGCCAGGAAGGGGAATGCCAGGGGCCCCCAAGCCAAGTCTAGAATGTTCTGTCTACTCTACTGCCAGCCTCTTTCCTTCTCTCTTCTTCCTCCCCCCACACCCCAGACGTAAAACCAACAAATGTTATGTCAGCTTCCCAGCATCTTCTGCTACCTGCTTGCTCAGGCCAAGCCTCAGGATGGGCCCAGGTTCATCCCTGAGGCCAGGGCGCCCAGGTTGGGAGGTCCCACACCCACACCCGTCTGTGGGTGGGCGCCTAGGGCCTTGGGCAAGTGACCAGTGTTGGCTCTGACCTCTGGCTGGGGTGTCCTCTGGTGGGCCCTGCGGCCATGACCCTGGCATCGGCCAGTCACCCACCCAGCCCGTTTCCCTGCCTGGACCATCGCCGGCATCTGGCTGAGGCACAGGGCAGTGGTGGTTACGGCTGAAAGAGGACACCCGTCCCCCACCCTGCCGACCCCAGCCTTACCCACGGCTCACAGTCCTCTTGGGTTCGTTTTTTCCATAAGTATAATTCGTACACCATAATTCACAATTTTAAGCTTACGATTTAGTTTTTCATGTATTCACAGTGTGGTGCACATGACCACACTGATTCTAGAACATTCTCATCTCCCTAAAGGAAACCCCATTCCCATTAGCAGTCACTCCCCAGTCCCAGCCTCTGGCCCTATCTGGTGTTAGAAGTGGAGCAGGTCCCTCCTCTGCTGGGCTGAGATGGAACCCGGACCCTCACCTGGGACTCCCACTCCCCCGGCCCCGTGGTGCCTCCCCCGATGCCCAGGCTGGATCCTCGGGCCTCTTCCCTCCCCAGCCGCTCCCTTCCCGGGCAGCCTTGTCCACTCTTCCCCCCCGCCCGTCTATGGCAGGACGACGCCCACAGTCCTGTCTCCAGACGGGCCCTCCCCTAAGCTCCAGACTTGGGGGTCCAGCTGATCCTGGAGGTCTCTTTGCGGGGGGCTCCTGGGCATCTCACACTCAGCTCGACCACGCTGCACCCAACTGTCCCCACACCTGCTCCTGCCTTGTCGCTGATCTCGGCTGAGGCCAGTCTGTCCTCTGTTGATTGTTCTGGTCAGGATCCTTAGTCATTCTTGACTCCCTTCTTCACTTTGCCTCCAGTGAGCAGAGCCTCTAGCTGTCTTAGGCCCCTGTCCTAACTTCAGACCTCTCCGGAATCTGCCCACCCCTCTCCCTTCTCTGCCTCCACCTGGTCCAGCCCATCATCTCCCACCGGGACCAGAACCACCAGAACTGTCCCCTCCACCCTCGTCCCAGGCTGCGGCCTTCACTGCCCCTCCCCCGTCCGTCCTCCCCACAGCGGCCACCAGAGGGCGCCTGTGAACAGTCGAGTCAGGTTGGCCCACCTCTGCCCACAGCCCTCCAGGGCTCCCACCTCCCTGGGTCCCACCTCCTGACCCTGACCCCTCCCCCAGGTCATCCTCCTGGCACCCACTCCCCTGTGCAGGCCCTTCTCTGGCCCCCACCCCGACTGTGAGCCCTTGAGGGTGAAGGCCGTGTCTGCCCTGGTCTCGCCTGTCTTCCCGCCAGCCTGACGCATGGTAGACCCCCAGTGTATGGGCTTGTTACATCTGTGATGGAGCACCACAGCTCCGCCTGAAACCACACACGTTTGTTAGCACACTCTGGCGGTCACAAGCCTAAAATGGGTCTCACTGGGCTATAAACCCTGGCGCAGGCAGGGCTGGTCCCCCCGGGGCCCCCGGGAGACCCGGCTCTGGCTTCTTCCTGGCCCGCGGCCCCTCCTCCATCCTCACCACCAGCAGCACGGGGTCCGCCCATCTCTGGGACTCCCACCCTCTGCCTCCCTCTCGTGAGGGCCTCGTGAGGACGCCGGGCCCCTGGGAATCCAGGGTCACCCCCTCCTCGGGGGCCTTGACTTGCCCACCCCTGCAAAGCCCGTCTTCTGCAGGGGGCAGGGCATGTCTGCCGTCCACACTCATTGGACAGATAATCCACAGCAGAAGCCTGCGTTCCGGGTGAGGATGCTAAGGCTCAGAGAGGTCAGTCAGTGGTTGGCCTTCTCATGGGGAGCTGGGATTGGAGGGAAGGATCCTGAGAGACAAAAACCACCTGCTCCCTCACTGTGAGCCTCTTTCCATGGTGAGCAGCTCTCCCTGGGGACTGTGTGGACAGGAGCCAGGGAGTCGTGGCTCCAGCCCCGGGCACCTGGCCCCTTCCCACTGACCCCATGCGTTGCCTGATTTCCCCTCGGCCTGAGCATCTCCTGGTTAAGCCCTGCTCCCTCCCGCGGGCGTAGACGGCACTTTGTCAATTCAGTCAGTCGTTTGCCGCTGGGGACCTGACGTCTTTGGGGTCAGTGGTGGGTCAGCATCCTTGCCCACTTCCCACCCCAGGTCTTCAAGTCCCTCCGTAGGGGCTCAGGGAGCTGAGTGAGGTCGCAGGCACCTGCGTGCAGCGAAGGCAGGGTGGGCTGCCCCCGTCTCCAGGCTGAAGCCTCTCCCTTCTCTCCTGCAGGCTTGGCCCAGAAGAAGATGGTCCCGACGGAGGTGAGTGTCCTGTGGCTCTGGGCAGCTCACTGTGCCTCCCTGGGCCCCTCCCTCAGTCCTGCCAGCATCCTGAGTTTCAGGGAGGGGAGCGGGTGGGAAGAGCAAGGACCCGGCCTGCACAGCGGGGGACAGAGGGACAGGAGACTGAAGGGCCGGAGAGGTGGGACGGAAGCCAGGCAAGTGTGGGTCCCTGGGGAGTTCCCAGGAGGAGGGGGACCGGGTCAGATGCTGCCGCAGGGCAGTGCCCAGTGCGTGATGAGTAGCACCTTCGTGCAGCACCCCGGGTCCCCACACACCTGCCCATGTCTGCCCGTCGTGTTCCAGAGAGCTTTCCCCGGGGGGGGGCCCTCGTGCCGCGCCTCCACGCCCCGTGTGGGCCCCGGGCTGCCCTCCCGCTCGCTCCGGTAGCGCAGGTGGGGGTCGGCACTGTCCCTGGTCCTGAAAGGAGCCTGCGGGGGCGTGTCTGTGAGCCCCGCGTTCCAGGAGCAGCCCAGGTGTGGCGTCCCTGTGCCTGCGCTGGCCGCCCGGCCCCAGGCGTGCGTGTGCCCTGGATGCCACCACCACGTGGGGCCCTTGTGGGGAGGGCTTTCCTGGAGGGTGTCCAGCCACACGGCAGTGGGGAGTCAGCGAGGGGTGCGGAGCAGGGGTGGTGCCTTCTGATTGCTGGGGAGAGCCCGCCCCCTGGTGGCCAGTGTGCAGAACGCACGGCAGCCGAGCTCAGGGGCGAGGGCTGGTGGGGCATTGGAGGGCGGCCCGGACCCCTGCGTGGGGCAGTGAGGCCGTGTGGGTCTGGCTGGTCTGAGCACCCTCAGCTGGAGGCCGGAAGGGCTGCGCGGACTCTGTGGATGGTGGCGGGTGTGCGGGAGATGTTTGAATGTCAGGGACAGTCTGGTCCTGGGAGGGGCACCAGCTCCCTCTGCTGGCCGGCCTGGGCCTCGAGCCGGGGCCCCTTCCGCCACTTCCCCACACAAGTTTGTCACGCCTGCCGTGGCTGTCCCCATAGAGGACCCAGGCCGGGGGACCTCTCCCCTCAGTTCACAGTCATTCCAGCCCAGGGGTCTCAGCCGGCGACTCCGCCCGAGGGGACACTGTGTGATGTCTGGGGACATCTGTGGTTGTCATGATGGGGAAGGCTGCGCCGAGGGGTGGGGGCCATAGGGCATGACCCAGCCCAGTGTCAGCCGTGCCAGGGGAGCCCCTGAAACTAGGGTCCTGCTCCCCATGCACACAGGAGGGCTGTGAGTGCCGACCTCCCTGCTTTCCTCGAGGAGCCAGAAGAAGGGTGTGGGCCCTTCTGGATGTGCAGGGTTGGACCGTGTGGCCCCTGCGGGTGACAGGCCACCTGCTCTGCCCTGGAGCCTGCCTCTGCCTCACGTGCCTTGTCACGACACTGTGACTCAGCCCGTCTGGTCAGGATTTCCAGAGAACTCCGGGCCAGCGGCGCCTCCTTGCTGATTTTCAGTGCTTCCTGCTTCTTTCTCTGCAGGCCCCGTTGATGACTGGACAGCCGGGTCCTGGCCACGGGAAGAAGTTGGGTCATCGGGGCGTGGACGCCTCTGGCGAAACCACCTACAAGAAGGTTCTCTTCTGCCCTTAGCTGGCTGGGGTGGGGCTTCCAGCCGTCCTGGGCACCCACAGGCTCGGGCATGCTCTGTGTCTGTGGTTGGCTGGAGGCAGATGCTCTCAGGACAGGCCCCTCCATGCAGGCCCCCAGTCCCAGCGAGGTCCTGGACGCCTGTCGTGGACATCACAGGCGTCCCCGGCACCCCTGGCCGAGCCCCGGCTCCTCCAGCCTTGCTGGCTCCTGGGAGGAACAGGGAGATGCAGTTCTCCTTCCTTCCCTTGGAAAGCGGGGCTGAGCTGATGGGAAGCCCGAATGAGGCCAGGCCAGGCGCTGTGCGGGGAGCACTTCCTAACGTAGCAGCTGGCTGAGAGGTCATGGGTGCACCGTGTAATTCACCCTTTCCAAGTTAGGTGGTTCCTAGCGTGTTCACAGTATGTCCAGCTATCCCCACGGTCAGTTTTAGAATATGTCCTTGAGCCCAGAATTACGCCCCGTCCCCATTCGCTGTCACTCCCATCCTCTCCTTCTTAAACGGGGGCAGGCTTCAGCCCAGGCGGCTTAGGCCATATGATGCCTGGCAGCCCCAGGATGGCCAGTACCGCCATCTCCATGCCCAACTATGGGTGGGGAAACTGAGGCACGGAGCAGCGGTGTCGCCCGCCCAGCGTGACAATGCAAATCACCGGGAGAGTGGGTAGAAGGAACCTGGGGTTACAGAAATGAAGTTCGGGTGTCATTATGCAAATTTATGTGCCCCCCCCCCCCAAAGAAAATCCTGACAGTAGACAGACCCCAGCTGAGTCGGGACAGTTTTGAGAAGTTGGAACCTTCTAGAACCTTGATGGAAAACAGGCCTGGGGACTGCACAAGGTGGGGTTGGAGTCTCAGGCCACTTCCTTGCTGTGTGGTTGTGTGAGCTCAGTGACAAACCAGAGGCCAACAGGTCTGTGACAAGTACTGGGCAGGCACCCCGGGGCCCTGTGATGTTGACGGGTGACAGGGTCAAGCTGCAGGCTGGACATGTGCCCCGACCTCCTGCCCTGGGGGGCTTCTCCTTTTGCCTGTCACCCTGGGGGCCAAGGGTCTTGATGCAGCTGGGTTTTCCCGCAGACCACCTCCTCCACCCTGAAGGGGGCCATTCAGCTGGGTATCGGCTACACTGTGGGCAATCTGAGCTCCAAGCCAGAGCGTGACGTGCTCATGCAAGACTTCTACGTCGTGGAGAGCATCTTCTTCCCCAGGTAGGCCAGGCCCTGTGCCACGGAGCTGCTGTTGGGTGCCCGACAGCCTTGCTGTTCTCCGAGTTCCCTTCTCTGCTGGAAATGGCACAGGCCTCTCCTGCCATCTTGGCTTGGAGGTCTTACCCCGTATCAGTCACGCTATTGGTTGTTTGCCGAATCAGATAGATGTAGTATAACAGCAATTTTAAGAAAACGTAAAGTTTCTTTTTCTCTCACGTGAAGAGCACTGCTTGGCAATCCAGTGAGGCAGCTCCCTGGTGTTGGGGTCCCATGTTCCTTCTGGTGGCTCCGCCATCCTCATGTGCAGCTCATCCAGCCAGTGCTGTCAGGTGGCTGCCTGGGATCCTGCCATCACATCTGCGTTCCACCCGCAGGAGGGAAAGGAGAAGGGGAGCACAGGACCGCTAAGGGCAGGACCTGGAAATGACGTGTGTTGTTTCTGCCCTGCCCGTGGCTCATTGGCTGAGCAGTCACGTGACCACACCTAGCTGCCAGAGAGGCGGGAGTGGACGTTGGGACACGCCCGAGACCGGCCACGCCCTTTGGCCCCGGAGAGCCCAGGGGTTGCCCACCGAGGGACGGCCTGGGAGCTCAGCCGCTGGGTGCTGCCCTGGGCAGGTTGTGCTGCTGGGGGCCGCGGGGAGTGGGAGAGGCGCCCAGAGTCGCCGTCCCTCACCGGCCTCCCTCCCTCCCTGCTCCACAGCGAAGGCAGCAACCTCACCCCCGCCCACCACTTCCAGGACTTCAGGTTCAAGACCTACGCCCCCGTCGCCTTCCGCTACTTCCGGGAGCTCTTCGGGATCCGGCCGGATGATTACTTGGTAAGAGCCGTGGTCGGTCGGCTAGTGCCGCGGGTCAAGTTGCCAGAGACACGTGTGTCTGCTTCCTCGTGGTTTCTGTGGGTCGGGAATTTGGGGGCCACTCGGCCGGCTTCTTTGCCCAGCGTGGTGGTGGAGAGTGGGCTGGGGCCGGAGCCTCGGGGACCAGCCCGGGGGACGGTCAGCTTCCGAGCCCATGTCATTGGCGGGACCCTGTTCCTTGCCCGGGGGCTCTTCCTCGGAGCGTGAACGAGAGGACTGTCCTGTCACCTCTGCCACATCACAGGTCCCGCCTCCATGCGAGGGGAGGTGGGTCGTGGGGACCAGCTCAGCGCGTCCCCTCCAGTTCTCCCCTCTGGTGGAGTCTTAGTCTCTCAAATCAGAAAAATCAAAACCTAGACCTACCCTCTGATCTCACAGCGCATGAGTGGGGTCCTGAGGGTTAGAGCGCGTGGGCAGACGGGGATCGGTCTGCACTTCCGGGTGGTCTGGTGGCTGTTTGGCGACTTTGTATTCGGGAAGGCTTAGCCCTTGCACGAGAGCACGTCTGTAGCCGGCGGATCTATTCCACCCGACCCCCCCACCGTCTGCCGTCCCTGGGGCCGTGGTCCTGCTAATTCTCACCCGCAGTGACTCGTTTCCCTGTGTGCTGGGAGGTCCGGCTGCGTGCGCCCACTTGGTCCACGGAGCCCTGTGCCCTCAGCCACGGCCGTGTCCTTCCACAGGGAAGTTGCTCTCGCTCCGGCCAGGGGTTCTCCAGTTGTCCGGGTGCCCCTTGCCAAGGCCAAGGCCAGGTCCTCTGACCACAGCATCTGTGGCGGGCTTCACGGCTTCCCTCTCTGACCTTCCCTGGGGTCCTGCAACCTTATCGGAGTGAGGACAGCCTGATGGTTCTAGAGTGGAAACAACCCTGGGGAGACCTCGATTTTAGGTCTCGTGGGTAGAGTGGACGCCTGTGGTATTAGCCGAAGCAGTGGCGATATGGCCTCAGGCCCGTTAGCTGGCGTGTGCTGGCCCCAGAGTGAACACACGGAGATGGCCGAGGTCCTGTCTCGGCCTCGAGTGGGTGCTCAGCAGGTGTCCTCTGTCCTCTTAAGACCCTCCCTGATGCCATGGCGGGGTGACGAGGCCCCCCGGAACCGAGAGGCCCTCCCGTGGCAGGGCTGGGGAACTTGGACGCGGCTGGATTGTCCCCGCTTGTCAGCTCTGCCCCCTCGGGGTTCCTCTTTCTTCCCCAGGGGTCCCTGGGGGGCCACGGGCACCGCCTTGGCCTCCAGAGACTTCCCTGGTCCTGAGTTTTGTGGGGGCGCGCCCACTGTCCCTGTTTGTGAGGGCCCTGGGCTGTCCTGTGTTAGCTTCAGCTTGGCAGTGGGGGGGTTCCGGGGGGGGGCATGGGTAGGGTGGGGGCTGCAGTCAGTTGACCTCAGGCCACATGTGCCCCCCTGGGCTCTGAGGAAGAAGGGGCACACCTGGGGTTGTCTGCCGGTGACCCCACCCCGGCGGCTGGTCACCCGGCTGGGAGGTCTGTGCATGTCACTGCTTCTCCCTTGGCAGCCCGGGCCCCGTGAGGCCTGACCCCATACGTGAGGGCAGCTGCTGTTAGCCATGTGGTTCTGGGACATTCTCTGCTCATAGACTTCTTTTGTACAAAGCCACACACTCCCCGTCCACCGCTCGTTTCTCTCCGCACTCTCCCCCTCTCCTGCTAGCTGGGCTCGGCTATAGTGCTGGGGGGGTAGCTGTGGGCTCTGGAGGCCGTGGACCCCGGCCCCCACGGGGTCCCTGCCCGCCCCTTGCTGCTGTCCCAGGAGCAGGCGGGAGGTGAGGAGGGAGAGCACGGGCAGCCTGGGCGTGGGCCTCTGTGTTTCCGTGGGTATTGGTGGCTCGTGGCTGTGGGTGGGCAGCCCTTGTGGCACCCACGGGAGAGGGGGCATCCCTGCCCCTCACCTGTGTTCCCCCTCCCCTGCCACCTGCCAGCCCCTGTGTTACACTTCAGCAACCCACAGGGTCATTCAGCAAACATTTGCTCAGCAGTTACCGTGTGGTGGGCTGGCACTCTCAGTCCAGTGGGGGACATGCTGTGGCCTCATCCATGCTGTATACCAGTGGTGCTCAGGACTCTGGGGGCTGCAGGGGACAGAAACCCAACGCAGACAGCCTTAGTCCTGAAAAGCACTTCACTGGCTTGCTAGCTGAAAAGGCCTGGGGAGAGCAGCCTGCAGGGCCTAGCTTTCCACGCTAGGCTGGGCACTGTCCGAGGTGCTGGGGACCCTCCGTGAACAAAACCCATAGAAATCCCTGCGTCCACAGAAGGTCCCATCTGTCGGTGGGGAGGGCGTGTGGGGCTGCTGGGTAGCAAGCACGGAGGTGAAGCAGAGCTCAATGGGAAGAGAGGTGGGGGTGCCAGGTTCCAGGGTGGGGGCTGCTCCCCCGAGACGGAGGTCCCCCTCTTTCTGCTGTTCTGGTGCGTGGCCTCCGTACTAAAGGTCACCTTCTGGCCCAGTATAGCGATTGGGGTTCCAGCTCTCACATCATCGTTCCAGGTGGAAAGACATGGGATGGAGAGAAGGGCACAAACTCAAGGGGCACCAGCTTTTGTCACCTATTTAGGGAGACAGAAGCTTCTATAGACGGCTCGGGAGCCAGAGTTGACTGTTGTGACCTCACCTAGCTGTGGGGGGGTTGGGAAGGGAGCGGTGGCCAGATGTGTCAGGGCCCCAACACAGCTGGGAGTCTGTTACTAACAGGAGAGGGACTGGGCCCTAGGAGATCAGCACCCAGGCTGCTGGTTAGCCCGGGTTCGAATCTGTGCTGTGTGGCCTCGGGCACGGCAGTCTCCCTCTCTGAGCCTGTTTCTTCATCTGTAAAAGGACGCTGACAGTGACCTGTTCCAGAGTTGCCCACTAGCTGCTGGGCCCGTGGGGTGTCAGCGACCCACCTGCCCACTCACTGCCCCCCCAGTACTCGCTGTGCAACGAGCCCCTGATCGAGCTGTCCAACCCTGGCGCCAGCGGCTCCCTGTTCTACGTCACCAGTGACGACGAGTTCATCATCAAGACGGTGATGCACAAGGAGGCCGAGTTCCTGCAGAAGCTGCTGCCCGGCTACTACATGGTGAGGGGCCCTTCCCTGCAGCGCGCCCCCTTCCGGGGCTCGCAGTCCTCCCCGCCCCCAGCTCCTCCCTTTCCCCCAGCTCCTCCCCTTCCGGGGCTCGGCTCGAGGGGCAGGAGCCCCCGGGCACCACCCCGCCTCCGGCACGCCCTGGAGAGCCTTGCTGGGTCACTGAACCTCACCCTCAGGGTGCCCCTCGCGTGGTGCCCTCCGCACACGGCAGGCAGGAATGGCCATCTGGGCCCGAGTGGCCTTCCCCGGGCGGGGTGGGGCGTGGGGGCCTGGGGGGCTGGGCACCCGCTCCACCCTCCCTGCCCATCCCTGCCCCCGCCAACACCCCTGAGTCACGGATCCCAGAAATCGTGTCTCGTGGGCTCGTGTCTCGGTAGCTGGTGACTCAGGCGTGGGGGAGGGGGGCCGGGCCACCAGCTGGTGTGGGGCTCTTCCCGTTCCCCATGTGACTCACCACTTGAAAGGGCACGACAGACTCCTGGGCGGAGGTGGACGCGGGAGCCTCACACTTCCGTCCCCCAGCCAGCCAGGGTCCTGCTGCTGGCACTGACGGGGGTGGACTCCACCTGAGTGCCCACCTGCCCTGCTGAGCCCGACCTGGCACTGGCGGGGGTGGGCGGGGCATTTCTGGGCAGCTCTGCATGGATCGTGACCCATCTGCACTTGGGGCGTCTCATCCTAGCGCATGATGCTTGGGTGGGCCCCCGGCTCCCCTGGGTCGGTGGTCGGCAGCCTCTCCCTGCCCAGCTCAGCCCTGCTGTTGCAGCAGGAAGGCCCCCGCGGGCCTCGAGGGAGAGGGCAGGCGTGGCCCAGCGCCAGGGACCCTTCACTCACTGACACTGAAATGTGAACTTTACGAATCCTTACGTGTCACAAGATGCTAGTTTTCTGCTTTTTCCCCCCGTTTTCATAACGTAAAGCCGTTCTTAGTTTGCGGCCGGCTGCATGAAAACAAGCAAGTGGTTGCACTTGGCCTTCCAGCCAGAGTTTGCTGGTCCTTGCCCTGGACGGTGTCTGGAGGCCGGGCCCCCATGTCACCCCAGGGCGGGCAGGTGGGCAGCTGGTCTGGCCCTGACACCTCACCGTGGACCCTCCTGGAGCATCTCGTCTCGGGGGAGACAGATCCCGGCTCACATCAGGATGCTGGGAGGGCAGAGTGAGGGCCGGCCCAGGAGGGAGGTGGTCAGGGAGGGCTTCCCGAGGGCGGCTCCTGGGCAGAGCGTGGTGGCCGCAGTGGCCACTCTCCTCTGACCCTGTCCCCTCCCCCGCCCCCCAGAACCTCAACCAGAACCCGAGGACGCTGTTGCCCAAGTTCTACGGGCTGTACTGTGTGCAGTCAGGCGGCAAGAACATCCGCGTGGTGGTCATGAACAATATCCTGCCGCGCGTCGTCAAGATGCACCTCAAGTTCGACCTCAAGGGCTCCACGTACAAGCGGCGGGCCAGCAAGAAGGAGAAGGAGAAGAGCATCCCCACCTACAAGGACCTGGACTTCATCCAGGACATGCCCGAGGGGCTTCTGCTCGACGCAGACACCTTCTCTGCGCTCGTCAAGACGCTGCAGAGGGACTGCCTGGTGAGGCCGTGGTGCCCACGCCGACCCCCGTGCACAGGAGGGCCCGGGGCCGAGTGCGGGGGGCCCAGGGGCCCAGGGGCCCTCGTCCCTCTGAGCCTCCGTCATCCCCTCTGTAACACGGGGACACTGGAGGAAGCGAGCGCCGCGTGAGCCCCAGATCCACGGCCCATCTTATCGGCGTGTCCTGCAGCCTGGGGGGTATCGTGCCTGCTCCTCTGGAGATGAGGGGCATCCCAGGCCTTCCAGAGCTCTCTGCTCCATCCTCTGGTCCCTCGGCCCACCACCCCTGGCTCCCAGGCCTCCCCCAGACCTCTCAGGACCTGCTTCCCTGAGCCCAGGTGTCAGAGCCCTTGGGGCCAGGAGGGGTCCTGGGCTCCCCAGCTGTCGCCAGGCAGGCAGGAGCTCTGTTGGGAGGAAGGAAATGCCCTGTCCCAGCCCCAGCCCCTTGGTCTCCTGACCACGTGTGAAACGGGGGTTAGGACAGGCCCCCGTGGGGCTGTGGGGACTGAGTGGGCACAGACCCAGACGCAGCTTGGGGGCGCACCGGGCTGGGTGTGAGGAGGGGGACGGAGAGCGTGATCTCTCGGCCCCACCTCCGGCAGGTGCTGGAGAGCTTCAAGATCATGGACTACAGCCTGCTCCTGGGCGTGCACAACATCGACCAGCAGGAGCGCGAGCGGCAGGCCGAGGGTGCCCAGAGCACCGCGGACGAGAAGCGGCCGCTAGGGCAGAAGGCGCTCTACTCCACGGCCATGGAGTCCATCCAGGGCGGGGCCGCACGCGGGGAGGCCATCGAGTCGGATGACACGTAGGTGGCATGGGGCCAGTGGGGCTTCCGGCTTGTCCGCCCGCACCCCTTGCCAGGTGTGAGGCAGGCGGGGCTGGGGGTTTGGCCAGGAGGGCAGGAGACCGTCTGCGGCCGCTTCCTGGTTTGCACTAGAGGGGTAGTGCCCGCCCGCCAGACCCCACGAGGGTCACACGGGTGGACACACAGAATCCCGGCTCGTGTGTGATGACCAGGGCCTTCTGGATTAATCTGCCAGCGGATTGAGGCCGTTGGCCATCTGTGTGGGAAACGCAGGTGTTCGCTCCTCCCACTGGAGCCCCAGACGGGCTCAGGCACCACCATCCGCAGCGAAGCCGGAAAGGTGCTGAAGGTGGTGGTGGTGCCGGGCCCAGAGCCCCCGGGAGAACAGGCTGCCGTGATGGAGGACGGGGTCCTAGGCTCAGAGACAGCGGGCTGACCCGGTCCTGCCGCGGGGGCTCGAAGTTTGGTGGGGAGACAGACTCATGGGGCGCCCCCTCCCACCCTCCCTGCACTGCGGACACCGGGCCAGGTTGTTCTCTGTGGGGGCGTCCTGGGCCCTGGGGGGCCGAGCAGCATCCCTGGCCCCCACCCACTCGATGCCAGGAGACCCCCCAGTCGTGAGGACCACAGACGTCCCCGGACATTGTCCAGTGCTTGTGGAAGGCAGTCCGGTGGGAACTGTGCCGAGATTGACTTTTTTTTTTTAAAGATTTTATTTGTTTATTTGAGAGAGAGAGAATGAGAGAGAGAGAAAGCACATGAGAAGGGGGAGGGTCAGAGGGAGAAGCAGACTCCCTGCCGAGCAGGGACCCCGATGCGGGACTCGATCCAGGGACTCCAAGATCATGACCTGAGCTAAAGGCAGTCGCTTAACCAACTGAGCCACCCAGGCGCCCGAGATTGACTTCTTGTCAGCACACACTGACCTGTTGGGAAGCAGGACGGCGGGGGGAGGTGGCAGGAGGGGTGGGTAATGACCTCCCTTCATCTGCTGGGGAAATGGGCTCAGAGGTGGAAGCAGCTGTCCTGGGTGCACGGCCAGCTGGTGAGGCCGAGGCTTGCCCCTGGCCTGGCCACCGCACGAGGCCAGCAGCTGCGGGGGCCAGGGAAGGAGCAGCCCAGCCCCCACCAGGCAGGCGGGGGAGCCGCAAAGGCCTGGTGCGGCTGGCCCGACCTCCCACCGTCTTGGTGTTTGTAGGGTCCGCGCGGGGCCTGGCAGGGGATGGCGGGGTGCGCAGGTGAGCCCAGCACCTGAGTGCCGTGAGTGCTGTGAGCAGAGCCTGTGGGGGCCTGGGCCTGGCGGCTCTGGGGTCGTTGGTGACCTGAGGACAGTCGCTGCCTTGTGTGACCTCACTAACCGTGCTGGGCCGGGCACGGGTGGGCCTGGGGCCGAGTGAAGCCACTAACTCCCCAGACGGCACCCAGAAGCCCTGGTGGCCCTGCCCGGGCTGAGCGTGTGCATGGGCGTGCATGGGGGCATGTGGGTGCTGGGCCCTTCGGCCGCCTCCGGCTTCGAGTGGAGTGCCCAAGAGGAGTGGAGAGCGGCCCGGTCCCGGCCGCGCCGCCACCTGCAGGGAGCATGTGGGCGGGGGCTCCTGGCAGGGCAGTCGTGGGGCGCTGCTGGTGGGGCGCTGAAGGCGCTCGCCCCCTCTCTCCCCAGGATGGGCGGGATTCCCGCCGTGAACGGCCGAGGGGAGCGTCTGCTGCTGCATATCGGCATCATTGATATTCTGCAGTCCTACAGGTGGGAGCCCGCCCCGCCTCCCTCTCCTCTCCTCCCCCATCTCCCCCCGCCCGCCGCCCCCCTCCCCAGACGCACCCCCGTGCTCACAGCAGCAGTGTGCCCTCTGCTGTCAAGACTCCCTTAGTCCCAGCCCCCCTGCCCCCCACCAAAGGCTCCCAACTGGCTGCCCGGCCCTAAAGGGAGGCATTTGGTCCCCAACCTGGTGACGCCACCTTCATCAGGATTTGTGCTAGGAACACGGTGAGAGCTCCCGTCGGACAGAGGCTGAGGCTGGCCTGGGGCCTGGGGGTGGGCGCGGTGTCGCCAGCTCATCTTCCATCCAGCCCTGTCTGTTGAGCACCTACTGGGTGCCAAGCGCTGGGCTAAACAGAGCGAGACAGAAGCACCCCATGGCCAGGAGGCACGACATGCCTGGACAGCTCATCCGGTGGGCAGGAATAAACGCTCGTGGCTGGAGCCATGTGTTCTGTGGTCTCGAGTGTGGCAGAGCCCAAGGAACAGATACTCAGGCCTTGCCCGCAGCTTAGAGCTGCGGTGTCGGCAACCCTGTTACCCATGCTCGTCCTTTACGAGGTTTCGGCAGTGAGCGTGTCTTAATCGTTAGTGTTTTGTCTTGAGAGTACTGTATGTTCCTTATGCACGATCCGGACAGGACGGAGAGGGCATCGTGGGCATGGTGGTCCCCACTTCCCGTCTACCCTCTCAGGAAGCCCACTGGGCACTGGGTGATTTCTTCCTTGCGTGTCTTTCTTTCCCAAATACAAAACTCAGCTCCTGCTCATCAGACGCTAATATTCGCAGCCTGTTTCCCTACCTGAGGGCAAACCTCTGCTACAGGGATGTCCCTCTTGATTTAAAGCAGGACTAAGAAGCTTTTGAAGCAGCAAACCAGGGTTTCTGCAGAGACTGTAAGGCGAGGCAAGGAGGGTGGGCCAGCACGTATCAGGCAACGACAAGCTCATCCAGGGGCTGGGGGTGTCATAAGGGGGTGTGTGCTGAGGAGAGGACCCTCCCCCACTGTGGACTAGGGGGTGTCCAGGAAGGCTGCCTGGAGGAGGCACCATTGTCCCCAACCCAGGTGTGCAAGGGCCTAGTTAGAGCCACAGTGCTGGGCAATAATTCCAGTTGAGAGGACCAGGGCTCAGCTTAGGCCATGACAACAGGGGAAAGATGTACTCTGGGAGGTGCTGGCCGTGAGCCCCCACAGGGGTCAAGCACCGTGGCCTTTTCAGTTCCTCTCCAAGAGTAGCCGTGGTAGGAGCTGCCAGCAGGCCGGGAGGGGGACAAAGGGGACAGGAAGAGGGAGGTGGCCTCTGGCTGGTGCAGCAGGTAGTCTCAGTTCCTCTAGACCGGGGCTCCCCCACCCACTCGGTGCCAGGAGCAACCCCAGTCGTGATGACCACAAATGTCCCCAGACATGGCCCAGTGTCTCCTGGACCCGAAAGTTTGGCAGGTGTTCAGTTCTTTCTTCTCTCTGCAGGTTCATCAAGAAGCTGGAACATACTTGGAAGGCTCTCGTCCATGATGGGGTGAGCAGCGTTCATTTGTTCATTAGTCTATAAAGGTAATGATCTCCCGGGGCCATGACAAGAGACGTGTTCCCTCCTTCCTGGAGTCACCATCTAATGAGGGCAGCCCTGTGACCCGGCAGTCACAGGCCAGGGGGTCAGGGTCAAGATGGGAAAGCACAGGCAGCTGGCTGTAGGCTCTCTAGTGAGGGGTCTGATCTCCACTGGTGAGGGGTACAGAAAGGCTTCTTGGAGGAGAGGACCCCCAAGCTGAGTTGGAAGGATCCCCAAGGACAGCCTGACCAGGAAAGTCAGGGGCCAGCTAGGCAAAGAATGTTCTGGAAATGTGCTGCGATATGGAGGGGATCATATGGGTCCAACTGCGCAGCACTGACCCATTGCCACGAGGGGTGTGGCCTGCTCCAAAACGTCTCCTCTGCTTGAGAATAGCTTGGAATGTGCTTTTTCCTGTCAACGCTGCCAAATATATTCTTTTCAAATATAAAAGACTGTGAGGACCAACTGTTGGGGAGCAAACAGCCCACCTGGGCGCCCCAGGCAGCCCTGGTCCAGCTGTGCTGATGAGCTGGCTGGGGCCTCAGAAGCATGCCTCCCCTCCCATGGCCTCCTTCAGACCAATTCTTACTAAAGCGCTAAGGGCTCTCTGTGTTCACATAGTCTGTAAGAGCCCCTGACACCTCTCAGAGTGTTTGGAGGGTTCAGATGGAAGCTTCCAGAAAGTGCACCAAGAAGGTCCAGGGGGCAGCCAGTCAGCAGGAAACCCTTTCGTGGTGTTAGAAAGCCGTGGCAGACGGGAGAGTTGCCAAGTCCTGGTGAGGCCACTTGTAATCTCCAAAGTAAGCTTTGGCTCAGCTCCTGGGGGCCCAGATGTTGATCAAAGTAACCATACAGGCATGAGCAGTCTGGGGCAGGTAGGGTGGCCTGTGGGGTAGAAGCCCAGGTTCTTGTGGGCGTGGCCCTCGGCCCCCAGCCCAGGTGGCTGGCCCCCCACAGCACTCCAGACAGAGGAGAGGGCGGAAACTCTGTCCCTCCCTTGGCTCCCATGCCCTTGGCCAGAACATGGTCCTGCGGTCACGCCTTGTTGCAGCGAGGATGGGAAATGTAGTTTGCATTCTGGGGACTGTGTGTCCCCACGGGTTCTGTTACATTACAGCAGGCGGAGGACCCGGGCCATGTCTGGGGACGTCTGTGGTCATCAGCCCTGGGGGAGCTCCTGGCACCGAGGGGGTGGGGGAGGGACGCTGCTCAGCCTCCCAGTGCCCGGGATGGTGTCCGCCGTGCCAAGGGGAGACTGCCATAGAAGGCGAGGCCCCTGGACCGTGGGGAGTAGCGAGTCCCCGCCTTTAGGGACCCAACATCACAGGAACACCAAGGGTGCTGGGCCCCCTCCCATACGGACGGCACGCGTAGCCCCGTCCAGCCTCCCTGTCGCACAGATGAGGAAACAGCTCTGAGAGAGGCCGTGCGTTGCCCGGGGTCACCATCCGGTGAGCGCTGCCTGGCTCCCAGTTAACACCAGCTGCTCTTGTCCCCAGAGCAGGTGTAGCTGAGTGCCACCAAACGTTACTTACAGTACAGATGTGCAGCCGTCCTTCTCTGAGCCCTGCTTTAGAGAACTCTTCTGGTTTCCTAATTTTGATATTTATTCGTTTACTCCTTTGAATTGCTGTTTGATTCATGAGGTTCAAAGGATTAAAAATACAGATGGGTTTATAAAGAAGGAATGTCCCTCCCAGGCCCCTCCCTGCCAGTTACGTCCTTCCTGCCAGCCCTGTGCCATGGACCCATCTCCCTGTCCCGCTGCCGCTGTGTGGCCCGGGCTGACCTGCGGGCCCCGCTTCTCTCCCCAGGACACTGTGTCTGTCCACCGGCCCAGCTTCTACGCGGAACGCTTCTTCAAGTTCATGAGCAACACGGTCTTCCGGAAGAATTCCTGTGAGCTTCCCAGGCCCTCTGGGCAGGAGGGCCCCGGGGGTGCTGAGCGGGGAAGTGGGGTTGCCAAGAGCGGGGAAAACCCAGAGCCCCTCCTCCTGCCACGTGGCCATCCATGGGCCTCGGTCAGGGTCTTGGTCCAGAGAACGGGAGTCAGGACGCCACTGTCTTGGGGCCCAGCACGGGGCCTAGAGCACGCTGTCCGAGCTTCAGTTCGGGCTCCACTGTGTCCTGCCTGACCTCAAGCGGGGTCGCCCTACTCCATGCTTCAGTTTCCCCATCTGTACAGAGCTGTGAGGGCAAGATGTGTTTACACACACAAGAGGTGCATTCGGCCCTGCATCTGTCCTCAAGGGGGGGCCACCTGCAGCCTCGTGTCCTCACCAAGGAAACACGGCCTTGGCGGACACGGAGGCAGCCGGGTATCAGCCAGACCGGGCATTGTCAAGGAGGGCACAGGACAAACAGAGGCAGCCCTGGGTGGCCTCAGGAGGTCCCCTGTCTGTGCTGGGCCTCAAGTCCCAGACCCTGGTGCACACCCCAGGCCAGGACCCTACATGCTGCCTGGAAGGGTCTTTGTCCCCACGTGTCTGTCTGCCACCTGCACCCTGTTCCCTGTGTGCCCAGAAGGCAGCGTGCTTGGTCACTCCATGTCCCCAGTGTCTAGCCCGGGGCCCAGCACGCAGTAGGTGTTCAGTCAGTGTCATTTGTGGGAATGGTCTCAGTGTGCACCTTATTCTCCGGGCTCCACACCGCAGGAGGTGGGTCCACAGAGGCAGCAGGGGCAGGCAGGCCCACTGCCCGGCGTGCGACATACTCTCCCAGACTGGACCAGGCCTGTGTGGGCGGCGACCCAGCCCGGTCACCCAGAGCCAGCTCGTGGAGCCAGCGCGACTCCACATTCCCTGACATTGAGCCAGTAGCTTGAAGTCAACGGCAGTGGGATTATTTACATGGTGGAAATTGGCAAACACCACAATTCTGGCCTTTGTCTCCTGAGAGCGGGTTGTTCATCTTTATCAGCATACCACTTCTTAGAACCTTTCCCGGGGCATCATTCTCACTGGTCCAGAGGGGATGCCAGCCTCCAGGGACCGGAGGGCTGCTCACGAGGCGAACTGAGCACCTACTGTATGCTGGGTGTTGTGCTGGCCATCCTGGGGGCAGATTTCACAGGAAGAGCAGGGAGGACATGGTGATGGTCGCCGACAGGCGAGGCTGGGTGCAGAGGGCACCATGGGGTCACCCGCCTTGTCTGACCCTGTTGCTGCAGATGAGGATGCTAGGGTTCAGAGGGGCTGACCCTCATTTCCCAGGCCACTCATCCTGGATCGGAGCCAGGCCCTTGGTGCTGAGCCCCACATGGCCCAAGGCCTCCAGTTCCTTGTCTCAAAGTGGAGGCCATGGCCAAGGTGGGCTGCAACAAAGGGGGCTCCTGGGACCTCCGGAGGCAGAGCTGGGTAGAAAGCAGGACAGGGTTTTCTTTGCAAAGAATATTGCTTCTTGCCCAGGCTTGAGGGCCGGGCTGAAGGCCAGGCAACGGGGGCCGTGTGTGCAGGTGGCAGGCCTCAAGCGGGGCCGACCAGGCTATTGAGCAAAGGAGGGATAGGGGCTGGTGGGGCCCTGCCTCGGTGCTGCCACGGGGCCCCCAGGCTGCCCCAAGCGCCAGTCTCCCTCTCTCCACAGCCCTGAAATCCTCGCCGTCCAAGAAGGGCCGTGGTGCCTTGCTGGCCGTCAAGCCCCTGGGGCCCACAGCTGCCTTCTCGGCCAGCCAGATCCCCAGCGAGCGGGAGGACGCACAGTACGACCTCCGGGGGGCCCGCAGCTACCCCACACTGGAGGATGAAGGTGACCAGGCAGGCTGGGGAGTGGGTGCTTTGGTGACAGGAGAGAGAAGGGGGCTCCTGGGGAAAGGTGATGTCCCTGGGGGGCTGAGAGGGGAGGGCATACAGGGAGCAACCCAGTGTAAGGAAGGGTTTCCTGAAGCTGGCGACCTGGGTGGGAGGGGCCTGGGTCACAGTCATCCCCCATCCCAGCCCAAGGTCTGCAGCCGTCCTGGGAGGGGGAGCAGCTGGGACTGTCACAGGGAGAGCTGAGCAGAGAAGGTGCCACCCGAAGAGGTGACCCACCCATCACCAGATGTCCAGAGACCTAGAGGAAGGAAGCACTTGATGGGGTTGGGCATGATGTTTTGGAAGGTCCCTCCCAGTTCCCAAGGTTAAAGAGTCCAAGATTACAGGCAGGGAGGGGCTGGGGAGGGGGGAATAGCATCCAGGCAGGGAGAAACTGCAGGTGCAAAGGCTCTGGGGCAGAACAGGGCCTGGTATGTTGGAGGGACAGCAGGAGGCCTGTGTGGTTGGAGAAAAGTCAGGGGGCGGGGGAGAGAGGAAGCGGGCGGGTTGGCGGGACTTGTGGGCCTGAGGAGGGTTTGGATCTCAGTTTGAGAGTAGGGGGCTATTGGAAGCCTTTGTGCCGAGGGTAAATTCGAACGTATTTGCCCTCTTAAAGCTGCCGAGCAGAATGGAGTGTTGGGTGGCAGGTGGGGCGGGGGCCTGGATTGCTGAAGGTGAGCCAAGCTGCAAGTGGAGCCAGAGGCCTGGAAGGCCTGCCGCAGGTGCCCACAGCCCTCTCCCCACAGGTCGGCCCGACCTCCTGCCCTGCACGCCGCCATCTTTTGAGGAGGCCACCACCGCCTCCATCGCTACTACCCTGTCCTCCACGTCTCTCTCCATCCCGGAGCGATCTCCCTCGGAGACGTCCGAGCAGCCGCGGTACCGGTGAGGGGCCTGGGCTGTCTCCTTCAGCGAGGCGGGGGCGGGGGGG